CCTGTTATGCGCATAACTGATTATCTGTTGAAATTGTCTGTTGTAAGTTTCGTGTCCCTTTTTTGGAATGCAGGGGGGAAAGGGGAGGTGTCCTGAGGTCATGCCCATGTCACGAGTTGGGAGTCTGCCATTCTTCTCCTGGACAGAGAGCTCTTAATCTGTCGCTTTCTGTTTATCGGATTTAGCAATTTATGCATTAGACGGTCATGGGGTCCAGGCGAGTCTGTCGCTGGAACACATCTCAGATACCATGTTCTTCGTTCTGTTGGAATGAAGGATGTGATGGGAATCATGTGTTAGTTACGTATAGATCCCGTGTGGCCTGAGGTTAGTTAATTTACTTCATCCTTTTCCTGTTGGATGTGAGAGTTCCTTCATTGGTGGTCTCAAGACATCGTGGTTTCTATATGTTGTGAACGAACTTTCCAGTTCTGATACAAAGAAAGCTTTGTTGTCTCCTGATTGAATTAGTTTAGATCTCATGAGTAGATGAGACAAGACTGACAGGAAATCGCCCCCGAATATTGGAGTCATGTGCTGGGATGATTCCATGGCATATCAGTGCCTGTTATGGATAGAAATCCCTACACTGGGTAATAACAGTGGAAATATTTAATATGGTTTTGTAGTGAAGATATTAAAGTTTGTGACTATAAAGAGAGAGGGGAAAAAAAGGCTAAGAAATATTCAACGGGGTAAAAATAGTGACAGCTATCCCTGATCTCCTTTGTTTTTGTTTGAGGTTGCGTGAGTGAAAGTGAAATTTGCAGTGAATTTGTGCTCATGTGAGAAAGCTTTGTGAAGCCGTGAAGGCTGCCAAAAAGCTTTTCCCTGTAAATGTAGATAAGTAAGCAGATAGACACTTAACGGTGTCACAGAGGACCTGACAAGCATTCCCTGCTGTGGAACAATAGAGCTAATTAGCCATCATTTGGTGTCCTGGTGAAGGGGGCTATTAGCAGAGGGGTTGAGGAGGTGTACTCCAGCCCAACGGCTAGCGCGTCAGGAGCACGCTCTGTGCCTCTGACAGCGATTAATTACCCTAATGGGGGGGGGCATACATCTCTGCTTATCACACGCTGCACCCCACACAAACAGCGGGTGTCAGACTGGAGAAACGCTTGGACTATTAAAGTGCATCCTTATCAGAAAATGCAGCAGCAAAAAAATAAAAGATTACAGATGAAAACAACAAGCCTTCTGCAATTTAAAGCACATTGTTCAGAGCACAGCATTCATACAGAAACAATAATGTGGGCTGGGATGTGTTTTGTTCTGGTAAGTCATACGTCACTAATAAAAGCACCAAATAATCAACAAAGTACATAACCGTTCAAAAAACCAGTAAGATTGGTAAGAATTTTTAATGTTTTTGAAGGGAGTCTCTTATGCTCACCAAGGCTGCATTTATTTGATCAAAATACTGAAATGTTGTGAAATATTACTATCTAAGCAGCAACACAGCATATTAGAATGATTTCTGAAGCATCATGTGACACTGAAGACTGCAGTAATGATGCTGAAAATTCATGATTTTCATGATTCTGTGATGTATAAAAATGTCAAAAGAACAGCATTTATTTGAAATAAAAAATCTCTTGTAACATTATTATTATTATTATTTTTACTTAATTTTGATCATGATTAATGCATCCTTGCTAAATTATATGGAAGCCCGTTTCCACCACAGAAACAAACAAACAAATAAATACAGTACATACATACATGATTTTTTTTTTATTCTTACAAAAAAATTTGAAATGCAAGACAAAAACAGAATTGTGACTGACTTTCTGACCTTTTCCTCATTAATCTAAATCTCACAATTCTGACTTTTTTTGTCAGAACTGCAAGTTTACATCTTACAATTCTGTTTTTATTTGTTTCCACTATGAAAAAATTGTGACTTTTAATCTCACAACTCTTTTTCATTCAAGTTTATATCTCTCAGAATTGCAAGAAAAAAAAAAATCATAATTATGAGATTAAAAAGTCACAATTGTGTTTTTATTGTTTTATTAATTTATTATTATTATTATTGTTGTTGTTATTATTATTATTATCATTCTGTGGCAGAAACAGGCTTCCACCGTATAAAGTATTTATATTTTAATGGAAGAATTTTCATGCTTTTAATGTTGTTATATGTTAAAGCACTGATAACTGGGAGAGATTTATTAAACACTTACTGAGACCCTCAATTGAAACTTTTTTGGCCATTTACATGTCAGTAGCATATTCAGATTATGTATCATCTCTCTCATTGGATGTGTTTGTTTCTGGTTTATTTTGGCTCTCAGCTCCTGTCCGCTGGCTAAATGTGTGTGTTCCTGTCTGTCGGTGGCAGGGGGGCTGAATGCAGACATGTTGTGCCCAGGGCTCGAGGCTTAGTCTGGCCTAATCTGGGTCACACAAATGTAACACTTAATATGTCATCAGCATGTGCCACTGGCCTAGTACCGTTCACTGAGCACATACCAGCTCTCGAACCCTAGAGCGCCAGAGTCATGCCTGATCTCCTCTGATTCTACCCAAGGCATAATCATTCAGCATAAGAGACACAAGTTCAAATCTGGCTAATTGTGAGAGTGATTTATCAACAAAAAGTTGTCTCAAATATCTCATTTTATAGCCTACATTTATAGTTATTTTTCAAATAAATAAATACATTTTTTATATACACATTTTAATATTAATATGTAACCTAAAATATACTTGAATATAAAATAATGCTCAATCGTTCAGGGTTAGATTTGAGCCTGAAATACTTTTATTCCGCAAGAATCTATTAAAATGATCAAAAGTGACAATAAAAAGACATGTATAATGTTACAAAATATTTTTGTTTCTGTTTATCAAAGAATCAAATATTAAAATATATTTAAAATATATATTAAAGTACAACATATTTATTTTACATTGTAATAATATTTTACAATATGACTATTTTAAATGTATTTTTGATAATGTTGATGATGTGTATTATTTAAAGGGGTCATCGGATGCCCATTTTCCACAAGTTGATATGATTCTTTAGGGTCTTAATGAAAAGTCTGTATCATAGTTTGGTTAAAATGTCTCAATGGTAGTGTAAAAAACACATTTTTTACTCTGTCAAAAACAGCTCTTTTCAGAGCATGCAGATTTGTAGCATTTTCCTTTAAATGTTAATGAGCTCTGCTGACCCCGCCCCTCTTCCGAGCCGCTCTCAGAGAGACTGTTTACTTTATCCGCATTCATCGTGAAACTTGCTAATTAGCACATTATTAGGAAAGGCGATTTGCAAAGATTCGCTAAAAAACCTTACACTCACTTCTTCTGTAGATGAGGCTGGATCACGAATGATTCGCGCGAACATAGACGCATTTATGTAGATC